AGCTCTCTGCAGGAGAAACTCAACCAGTCCTACTCTCCCACGTTTTCCCTATTATCCTGCAACTTCTCTCTCTTCAGCAGGTTTTCCAGTTCCATTTTGACAGCCTCGATTGAACCTGGCTCCAATCAGAGCAGTACCAGTTTTGCTAACCGCACAACACAATGAAGTCGGTTGATTTGTGGAACATTCTCAGTATGTTTCTCTGGGCTGTCTCCAATGCCTTCCCGCCCTTCCCAAATAAAGTGCTAGAGTTGAACACAGTATTCTACTGCCTGCAGGTTTCCCCTCCAAGCCACGTACCATCCAGACTTGGAAACATGGCCAATTACTTCGCTGTTGCAAGGTCAAATTCCTGGAATGCCCTGCCTGACAGGGTGTCCCGATACCCTGAGTCTGCAGAGGTTCAAGACATTGGCACAACATCACTTTTTCCAGAGTGATTTATGGGCAATAAACATTGACCGACATGAAGTTTTTTTTTAAAAGACTGAGGTTGCACCAGTAGTTCATAAGGATTCTTCATAACCTCTTTGCTTTTAGATTTGAGACATTCGATTGTAACTCCCTAAGTGTCTCTTAAGGATTTTCTTAATCTTTGTTACCAATGCACTTTTCTGGCCTCAATCTGCCTCCTAAAGTCTTTGTAAGTTGTTGCTCAGTAATATAAGCTGAATTATAGCTTCCCAAGATCCCCAGAGGTACCCTTCTGAAATTTGATGATGTAAAGGTTTGATATTATTTTATTCCCAAATGATCTGTGATTTCTGTGAACAAAATATCACTGTTTCATAAATTAAGGGATCATTAAACAATCCTCCCTGACAATCACAAAATCACAAACTCTGATGCACAATATATATTTTTATAATTCTGATGTATCATTTATATGGCCAGCTGAGTAAATTCCCACTGATGGATTTTGGTCACCAACTCTTAAGTTGGCTGAACTTTGCACATTAGACCAAGATTCTGATTCCAGTATATTAATAGTTTTGAGTACACAATTCATGAAGTATGTTATCATTGACCATGTAATGTGATATGTGTCTCTAAGACACTGCTGAGGTGAGTGGCTTGTTACTAATGGATTTTATAGCTCCAGTCTTTAAAATTCACTGAACTTTACACATTAAAGCATTAATTTAAAATCCAATTGCTTAGAGCACAATGCACATTAGAAGAAAAATCGACTGTGTGACATGATTTATGTTTCGAGACTTGCATTTACAATACAAAACGTTTTGGAGCCACATTACTGCTGTGAAGTAACTATATGTGAAATCTGGAGTGGGGTATTACCGTGATTTTAAATTACAGTGAGTGAGATGAACATTGTTCATGGGATGTGAGTATCATCAGCTTGGCCAGCATTTATTGGCCATCCCCAATTGCCTTGGACAAAATGGTGATGACCTGCCTTCTTAAACTGCTGGAGTCCCTGGGGTGTGTGTGCACCCACAGTGCTCTGGGAGAGGGAGTTCCAGGATCCCATTTTATCTTCAGTAGATTCTGTTAATCACATGCCTAAGTTGCAGCCAGATGTTTAGTGTGCCCATGTGGGAACTCCATTCCCAATTCCTTTATTCACTGAAATAAAAACAGAAATTGCTGGAGAAATCCAGCATCTGAGAGAGAAAGCAGAGTCAATATTTTGAGTCCAGTGACCCTTATTAACTCGTTCAGGAGACAATTACCCAATTTGTCTCGGTGATTAGAATGGGATACAGAGTGTAGGTCCTGACTGTGGTAGCTTGTGGAGGAAATCTCCTGCTTTTGTCCCACACTTTTGGAGTGGTGCCCCTCAAACTACACATAACCAATTGTCTCTCTCTAATGGAGAGAGATGCCTATAATCCTCTGTGCACCATAATTACTCACTTTACTTTTAGTCATTGCATCAGTTCTGAGTGGTATAAACCAGACCAAACCCTCTTCACATACATCAAGGGGATAGCCTAGACCCTAACTTTTAGTTTATTTAAAGGCAAGTGTGTGGTGTGGTGTTCCAGATGTAATTTGATTGGTCACACTATTTGACTTTAAGCAAACCACACTTTATTCTTACATTACAGTTAAAATACAACCAAAAAAAAGAATTGGTATAACTTTAACTCTATTGGAAACTTAACAGAATAATAGATTATTTAAGTATGAAACAGCAACTGTTCCAATATAGTAACATTGCATAAACACACTCTTGGCAAAGACAAATTCAATAGAATAAATTGCTTCACATGCGATGTTTCTCCAATCCGGGAGGAAAGAACAGAAAAAGAAAATTCTGGTGGAGAGAGAGCTATAGCAGCTTCCACAACCAACTTCAAAACCCCAACAGCTGCCGAAAGCTAAACTAAAACCCTGGTTCTGTGGGAGCCTGACTCCACACATTCATGCTGCTGCTATTGTTCCAACTTTAAGAAACAAAACCAGGGCCTCACGAGCAGTTTAGTTTATTCGCTTGGAAGAGACAGCTCATTAGCTATGGCTCAAAACCTCTCTTCAAAAACAAAACAGGACAAAATACACCTCTTAAAACTATAGTATTGTTACAGCAATAAATCCAGGTAATGGTTTGGGTTGCATATGGCAGCCAATTTTAATTTGTAACGAATGTTAGCCAGGAGGAGCCATTATTTTGATCACTGACCAACTGGCAGGAAAATACGATCAATTCACAGCTGAGCTTATACATGTGTATAGCCAATTTACACTGTCAAAATTTGGGTCTTAACAATACGATAATAGCAATTGGCTCACCTATAAATTTAAGTTTTGTCTCTGTCTCTGAATCATTTTGTGGAAAACTTTGAATGATTTTCATTTTGATCAATAATGGGATAATGGGCAGGCATGCTCGGTAGATATTCAATATTTGCTCCTGTTTTGCATTATAAAAGCTTCGGTGAACTAGATAATTCAGCAACCTGGTGATAAGAAATCTGAAAGGCTGCCTGCATCTGAAAGGCCTTACAGGAGAGAAATAGAAGCATTGTGAGTGAATAATAAGGGCAGTGCCATAGCATCGATCAATCCTTTTCCAAAATTGACAGTAGCAAAGATCATATATGAGGAAGCTTTTAAGGCTCAGGTCACTCAAATGATGCAATGAGTGCTCCAAATCTGCATCTCCTTGTCCTTAACTGCAACTTCTAGCAACACTCAAGAAGCTTGGCACCATCCAGGACATAGCAACCTGCTGCACTACGCAACATCCACCATCTTAAACATCTATTCCAGGACAGCTGACCCACAGCAGCAGCTATATGTACCATCTGTACAAAGCCATGCAATAACTCACCAAAGCTCCTTTGGCAGCATCTTCCAAAACCTGTAACCTCTACCACCCATGAGGACAAAGGCGGCAGATATATGGGAACACCATTTGTACAATCCCCTCTAACTTACACGCCCTTCTGACTTGAACTATATTGTCGTTCCTTCACTGTCACTGGGTCAAAATCCTAGAACTCCCTTTCTAATAGTGCAGTGGACTTTAAACCTGTGGGCTGTGAACCCCCATGTCTCTCTGCTCTACAACAAACCGAGGTCCTTCTAGATTCTGTCACTAGAGGAAACATCCTCTCCACATCCACCATGTTAAAACCCCCTCATAGTTTGTAAACAAGTCACCTCTTCCTCTTCTGAACTCCTGCATGTGGATGTAAATATATAAGCCTAGCCTGTCTAATCTTTCCCAAGTCAACCCAAGCTGTTTCAGGCATTTGTCTAGTAAATTAAAAGTAAATCTGGAGCAAATTGCTAAAGCTTATTGGTCTTGTGTACAATCATGTTGCTATATTTATATGTTATTATCTTATTACAGCATATCTTATTTTCAAACAGGTTAAAAAAGCAGGAGAGAGGAATGTGGAAGGGTTGGTCAGTTGGTTACATTGTGATATGATATGCATTAGCCTTTAATGAACATATCTTAAACTACCATCAATCATTATCTTGAACTAGAAATGATATTTTAGCCCATGTCTTGAGGTCAGTCTCAGTCAATAGTAACAGAAGTAAGATGTACAATAATTAGATTCCATGTGAATATTATCTATATATAGTGTTATCTTCAAACAAGGAATCCAGATTATTTTATCACCAACTCTTGTAAGTGATTGGCACGCATACACCCAAAGAGAAGAATGTAAGTCGGTAGTAGCCGGTGGTTTTGGAAGATTTTTGATTTTTTAAACATAACTCCTATAATCTGCTGACAGCATGAGGATTTGATTGCAAAGTGTAAAAATCTTAATCATTCACATTTGTCCTGGTAAAATTGTTTAAATCTGGGAGAGTTCAAATAGTAAAATCTATTTGCTGTGAAGTTCAAAGCAGGAACAGAATTTAAATAGCAGAATTTGGATTGAGACTTCACTTTAAGTGAAACTTAAAGATGGGAGAATTCATTACAGTTTAAGTTAACTTCTGCAGACTGTGCTGGGAAGGAGAATCTAATCAGAAATCACTTTACCTGACAAAGGGGCTACGCTCCGAAAGCTTGTGATTTCAGATAAACCTGTTGGATTATAACCTGGTGTCATGTGACTTCTGACTTTGTCCTTGCTCAGGTGTAGGGATACTACCGCTATCCCAACTGCTTGCACTGTTTCATGTGCCCTTTGAAGCAGCTGTCTTTGTTTTGTATCTGAAGCCTCTCTTGTTGGGGGAAGCTTTAGAGTTAAAACTGGGAAAAGGATAGCTCAACAGACCACTATTGTAATCAAGCAATAACCAATGAGCAGCTAAGATAGTGGCAACTAAAGGTACTGCAATTAAGAATGAATTTAATCTCAGGAAAGCTTAAGAAACTTGAATAGTTGTTAAAAACATTCACTTAACGTCGTAAATCTACTTTTCCAACATTCAACTGGAAGGTTTTTTTTCAAAGAATAGCTGTGGAAAGAGTAGAGCCTATTAGGGACCATAGAGGAAATGTATATATGAATCTGGAAGACATGGGCACAGTCCTTAATTAATACTTTGTGTCAGTCTCCACAATGGAAGAGGATGATGCAGGTAAGGAAATAGAAGATACAGTAAATATCGTTGATGCAACATTTCAACGTATCAATTTTGGAGGTTGCTATGAGTGCTCTGAGAGGTCCAAAATAACATCCATGGAATGTACTCATACTCTGTTAGGAGTTGTGCTGGATGTTGCATTACTGAGGACTTTAACACTGGTAATGAATAATAACTAGAAGATTGCTGAGGAGGCAGACCATGATACCAATCAGTGAAATGTGGATTTCACCCTGTTCCCTTTGCTTTGGAATGTAATATTTCAGTCCCATTTGAATCACATAAGGCTGAGCACATGTTCAGTAGCAAAAAGAATGGCTCCTAACACCCTTTAATCCTAAACCCCTAAGACGACAAGATATAGGAGCAGATGTCAGCCATTCAGCCCATTGAGTCTGTTCCACTATTGAATGAGACCGTGACTGACCTGATAATCCTAAATTTCACTTTTCTGCCTTTTCTCCCATACCCTTGATTCCCTCAATGATTAAAAGTCTGTCCATCCCAGCCTTGAATATACTTAATGACCCAACCATAACAGCCCTCTGTTGTAAAGAGTTCCATAAATGCCTTGAGTGAAGAAATTCCTCTTCTTCTGTTTTAGATTTGAAACTGCACCCACTCCTCTATAACATAGCCATTGGGTGAAGCGAGGACAGTCATGGCACGTTCTGGGCAGTTGCAGTTGGAGACAGATATATTTTCTACTGCTCATGTTACCATCCGTGTGATGTAGGCTGTATACAATTACTGAGATGTAACCAGGTTTATCTTGCTATCTAAGATCATCTGCTGAGATTTAATGGTGGTTCAGCCTTCACCATAAATTGCACAGCAGTTGTCAAAAGAGGGTGTGGCTTAGTTTAGTTGGTTTGTAATTTACAATAATGTTGACAGCCTGAGTATAATTCCCACATTGGCTGAGATTACCTTAAAGGATTCTTTTTAACCTTTTCCCTCGCCTGAGACATGGTGATCCTCAGGTTAAACTACTACCTGTCATCTCTGTAATGAGAGAGTAGGACTATGGTGACTTTACCTTTACCCAAAAGTCCCTGGACTAGCACAGGAAGAAGGATTTATAGCAGCATCCTACCTAAGGTACCCACACCTTATCACTACTATTATTACCTATCTATGGTGACCTCACGGAATTTCTTAAATCTGAGGGAAAAAGGAGATCATTATCAAGATGACAAGGGGTAACTATTGGAGACCTGCACGGATCATTATTCTTGCTTCATACTTATAAACAGTAGTTAATGACTTTGATGAAGGGATCAAATGCAGTGTTTCTGACTATTGGTGACCACTTAAAGCTGGAATGGAAAGCAGCAGTGAATGAGGCACAGTGAGTTTACAAAGGGATGCACACCTGTTTGTCAAGTTGACCACCTGAAGTACAATACGTAATGATTAGGTTAATCGCTGAATTGGGGAACGGAAAAGCATTGTCTGACTCTTCGATGGGACTGTAATAAGAAGTGATCTCATTCAACCACATACAATTATTGGAGGACCTATTAGGAGAGGTACTAAAAGATGGTGTCTCCTACTTGGAAGGTCTCGAACCAGGGTCAATCAATCAGTCAGTCATTGCAACTTTCTACCTGGGAGTTGTGATGTAAAATAGACAATATCTGACCAAATATTAAGTATTTTTCTGTCTGATTTTCCTTTCTAGTCATTGACGGTCAGTGTTAAATGAGTGAATGATAGATAATAACCATTTATATCCCTGCTTAGAATGTAAGTAATAAGTTCTATAGGTCCGGTTAAATTTGCACTTGTTCAGAAATTTTCCTTCCTGCATAGAATAAGAATCACTATTACATGGATTGGGTAATATTTTTATTTGGATTTATGGTTTATTGGTTTGCAATTTGACAAAGCTTTTGTCCATCTCCTCAAAACACAATTAGACTTTGTTATATCCTACTCAAGTAGATTAACAGCAAGTTAATTTTATTTTCACCTTGATTGTAATGTTTGCTAATACATGTGTTAATTAATGCAAGAAAATCATTGTTAATTACAGGCAGACAGATTTATTTATGTAACAAATGGTGTCGGAATTGAATAATTGACTGTAATTTTGTGAAGTGGTTGACAGTGTGAATTTCAAGATTAAGTTCTGAATGGTGGCCCTTTCCTTTTGCTTACCAGCACATGATCTCAGTTAAGTTAGTTTGCAAAAGACAGATTCCCAGGTTAGGAATGAAATTACCACTGATTGCAATAACGTAGCCATTTTAGCGAAGGAAATCTGCCATCCTCACCCCTGGTCTGGTTTCCATGTGAACCCAGAGGCACAGCAATGTGGTTGACCCTTAACTGCCTCTGGGATGGACAAACAAGCCACTCAGTTCAAGTGTGATAGGAGATGGGCTTATATATCTGTGAAAGAATTAAAAACAAAACTCCTTATAATGGGATGGAGGAAGTGTGCATTGCCTGGCATTCTACAGCAATCTCCCTAATGATCAGCAGTAAATAGATGTAACAGCACCTGGTAATCAGCTGTATGACCCATGAGTGTTGGTTCGGTCAGTTGGTAGGTTTTTTTCAATGCAGTGTAATGCCAATGGCATGGGTTCAATTCCTATACTAGCTGAAATTACTGGGAAGGCCCTACATCCCCAACCTCACCCCCTTGCCTGAGGCATGGTAACTCCCAGGTTAAAGTCACTATCAATTCTCTCTCTCTAACGAAAGCAGCCCTATGGTCTGGTAGGACTGTGGTAACTTTACCCTTTACAGTATCATTAGTATTCGAGATAAGATCTCTGAGACAAGTAGGATTTTTAAAGGCTCTTTCAAGTGATGTAGGCCTCTCTGGTGTGGCCAGCATTTATTGTTATTATATTTATTATATTTATATAACATTTATTATATGAGTTCTGAGAAAGGGTGACCGGACCCGAAACGTTAACTCTGCTTTCTCCTCCACAGATGCTGCCAGACCTGCTGAGCTTTTCCAGCAACTTTGTTTTTGTTCCTGATTTACAGCATCTGCAGTTCTTTTGGTTTTTATTTATTGCTCATGCCTAATTACCATTGTACTCATGCCTAATTACCATTGTACTGAGTGGCTTTGCCAGGCTATTCAGGGGTCAATTAAGAGTCAACAGCCTCTAGACTGGATTGTTCCAATGCACCTTAGCTGACCTCATCCCATCCTCTAAACCTTTGCTGTCCATCTCCTCATTGGCAGCAAGTCCTGTTCACTGTTATGCCCTGAGCTCACTGACCTACGCTAGTTCCCAGGTGACTAATGGCTCAATTTTAAAATCTTCATATTTGTTTTCAAATTACTCTGTGCTGTCCCCTCATTATCTTTGCAATCTCCTCCAATTTAGCAACCCTCCAAACTTTATGTGTTCCTCTAATTCCAGCTTTAAGCATATTCCTGTTTTTAATTGTGCTCGCACATGTGTTTTCTTTGCCTTTAAGAGAGTTCACCTTCAAAGGGACCATGTGTTGTGTGTATACACAATATTGCGACTCTACCTACTAGGCAGGTTGCTGTGATTTGCAGTCTATACACAAGAGTTCGTTTGCTGTAATGTCTGCTTCATAACTTGCAATGTATTTCATAGTTTTATACAAATAAACCCATTGAGTGACCTGATGAGTAATTCATTGTTAGACCGTTATAAAAGGACAAACCATTGGCAGCAATGCCATTAGTTAACTGGGGCCTTATCTTTTGAACTCCCTCCTTAAATCTTGCCATTTCTCTGCTTCTTTCTATTTTCCTTTTAGATTGCCCATAAAATCTGCCTCATTGACCAAACATTTGGATGTCAATCCTAATATCTCATTATGTGGCTTGGGATCAAAGTTTATTTGGTGAATGCACATGTGGTATGTGTAATGGCTGTACTCTGTTAAAGGCACTATATAAATGCAAGTCCCTATTATTAAGCACTGCCTCTAGTTCTTGTTCCTGTTCAGATCCACTGGTTTGGCTGGTTTAAGCCAAGTTGAAGATCTCATGCAGTACAAATTGCTCTGGCGTTTGCTTGGCAGTCTTTGTGATAATAATCAGAAAATTTATGTTCTGAGGACTTCATTTTCAAGATGATAATGAATCTTGGGGAGATAACTTAGCAAAACAAAAATCAAATTATTAAAGGGAAGATATATATGTATATATGTATTAGAATGCCATAATCATTGAATCCCTACACCGTGGAAACAGGCCATTCAGCCCATTGAGTCCACACTGGACCTCTGAAGACCATCCCACCCAGACCCTATCCCTGCATTTCCCACCCTAGACACTATGGACAATTTAGCATGGCCAATCCACCTAACCTGCACATCTTTGGACTGTGGGAGGAAACCGGAGCACCCGAAGGAAACCCACGCAGACACGGGGAGAACGTGCAAACTCCACACAGACAGTCACCTGAGGCTGGAATCAAACCTGGGTCCCTGGTGCTGTGAGACAGCAGTGCTAACCACTGAGCCACTGTGCCACCAATATCTACACTTTGTGTCTGTGCACGAGCACATATTTGTCCACCCACTTTAAAAGATTGAATATTGAAATATCAGATCAGCAAATGCATAATGTTCTTCATGTTGGAATCTTATTTCAGAATTTGTACTTTTTGGTTTGAACCATTTAATTTAAATGGACTGATTGAAATGGAATGTGTAGGATACCAGGTATTCTTAAACTTTGTGCTAATTAGATATTTCTTCATTGTTTTATCAGATTTGGGTTTCACTGCAAAGCTAACATTTGTTGTCTGTCCTCATTATTCTTGAACTGAATGCCATATTAAGCCATTTCAGCGGGCAAGTAAGGGTCAACCACATTGCTGTGGGTCTGGAGTCACATGTAGACCAGACCAGGTAAGGATGGCAGTTTCCTTCGCTAAAGGGCATTGGTGAACCAGATGGGTTTTTCTGACAATCGATAATGGTTTCATGGTCATCATTAGATTCATAATTCCAGATTTTTGTTGAATTCACATTCCACC